CCTTCCCCAAACTCAAAATTTTCTCTTTGCCTACCCAAATTACCATATTTTTCCTATGACCGTTGTGGGTACTCTTAGAGGCTTGACTTTGCAAGGTTGTGAAGGAAAATATACTTTTGCTAACCTTTTCCAACACCTTAGTCATGACCTTAGACATGATAGAGTTTGATTTCTACATAAGGTGTTGCTCCATGAAATGGAGATGGACAAACGCGTTAGCAATGATATGGTGGCGGGAGCGGTTGATCCACATCTCATCCAATGCTTTGTTTTGCTCTCAACCGCTAGTTGATTCTAATGACTTGAGTTGTTCGGAGATATTCAACTATGAATTTTTATAATATTTACTAACACACCCCACAAGCGAAAGTACACTCATATGGGCTTGAAGTTTGCACAGGCATTAGACCACCATGTGCTTACATAAGAGATATGATATCATATCAAGAAACAATTGATCTCAATAACCCGACTTGTTGAAAATATTCAATTATGAATACCAGCTCCTAATGAGCCGAGCTTTAGCTAAGCTTTCTGCAGCTCACGGAGCTCGCGAGCTAGCTCAACTCGGTGGCTTGTTGAGCTCAACTTGTGAGTTGGCTCGTTTAGAGCTTATGAAATGTCTCAACTCTCAACATTGTAGCTAGAGAGCCAACTCTATTAACGACCTATGAGCGAATCGATCTATATGAGTTTGATTTTGATAATTTATAGGATTATTAAATTATATATCTCATCCTATCTGAAGTTTAAAATGTAGATTATGTGAGCAAATATGTCATATTTAATTTTAAAAGGAAATTATGTATCATATATGATACCAACAAAGTATAACATGAGACTAGTTAATATTTATTTTATGACTAGATAATATTGAACACTTAACTATTATTTTTTTATCTTCACATTAATCACATGTATCGACATACAAAATGAATATATCAAATACGAGGCAAAATTTTATTAATCAAGCTAGTTCAAACTCGACTCGACTCAACTCGTTAATAAACGAGCTGAGCTCGAGCTCAACTCGTTTATTAACGAGCCGAGCTCAAGCTAGGGTAAAACTCGGCTCGGCTCATTTGTAGCCCTACCTATAACATCATCCCGAAGGATCTGTCCGACCTCCCTAGGCGGATTAGAGAGTTCATGCATATCATAGGGATAGACGAGATTGTGTTTCGAGTGCCAGTCCACGACTTTATTCCCTTCCCGATAAGTATGAACCACTCTAACCAACCAGTTCTGAGCAATCCTCCTCGTAATAGAATCAAGTAACGAAGCATACAAGTGAACAGGATCTCGTCGTTTGTTGATCAGCTGAATGGTCAGCTGGGAGTCGGACTCACTTACAAGATTGTCGCATCCAAGTTTCGATGCTAGATTCAGTCCATGATAGAACGCCCACAACTCCGTTTAGGCTGTTGTCGCCTCTTAAATCTTTGCTACAAAACCTGCAATACATCTCCCTTTCTCATCTCTGATCACCCCACCAGCTCCATCCATGCTGGGGTTGCCTGCCAAGGCTCCGTCGATGTTCAAATTAAGCCAACCTGCAGTGAGAGGATGCCACCTGATATGCTTTGTGATTCTTCCCGCACTCACGTTCAGCCTGCCTGGATTAAGAGAACCTGCATTCCACGCCTTGTGCCACTGTATAGCCTTCTGTTGAATCTAGTGAGCCAACGTCGGTGATGAAAAAGCTTTGTTAGCCTTAGTAAAGCACGTCATACATATGTTTTTCTATATCAGCCAGAATGCCAGCGCTGAAGAAAGCTTGCCAGCTCATGCCAGACTCCATATTGTCTTCGTTTCTCAAGTTACTGCGGAGCCAGCTGTCTTGATCGTGATTGAAGAACTCTGATTGTCTGTCGGGCGGAACCAAGCGTGACCAGCAAAAACGCGTCGGCGGGCAGTCTCGCAGCACGTGGAGCACCATGTCCGGGTTGTCGTTACACTGGTAGCACGCCAGTGAGTCGGTGCATTTCGTGCAGAAACGCAAAGCATTGGTAGCAATCTGCCCAAGGGAAACTAACCATGCAAAACATCTCACCCGTTCCAGCGTTGGGAGCTTCCATATGCCCTTCCAAACCGGATCACTATGCTCCAACTACACGGGCTGAAGGAGCTGGTACGCCATCTTCGTCGAAAATCGACCATCTACCAAAGCCGTCTAGAAGATCTTGTATGCTTTTGGGGACACCGGATCAACCATCACTAAAGTGATCTTCTGGATTGACTTCATCGGGAGCCACTGCGAGAGATGACTGATATCCCAACACCCATCCGCATCCAGGTTAGAGGCCACCGTACTTGAGTGTTCCTTCTTGGGAACTGATTGCATTGTTCTGCCGATGATTGGTTCCTGCAAAATCCAGTTATCCAACCAAAATTTAGTGCTTTTTCCATTGTGGATGTTCCAGGCACAACCTTTCCTCAAGAGACTAGTCACTTTATTAAAACTCATCCAAGCAAAAGAACTTTCCTGACATGGTAGGAACATGTTTAACTCCTCTCTCTTCTTTTTCATACTTTGATCTCATAATTTGGGTCCAGAAGGTGTCTTTCTCCTGCAGAATATGACATCCTCCCTTTGCTAAAAGCGCCAGATTGGCATGGCGGAGAGACCGAAAACCACCTCCCCCTCGCTTCTTTGGTTTTGTTAGCTTCTCTCATGCCACCAAGTGCATCTTGCCCTGGTTCTCTTCCTTACCCCATATGAAATCCTTGTTAATCCTGTCAATTGTGTTGTAGACATTAACAGGAATTAACTCAGTTTGCATAGTGTAAGTAGGGATAGCCAAGGATATAGATCGAGCAATTGTCAGCCGTGCAGCTAAGGATAGTCGTTTCGCTTTCTAGGGGGCATTTTCCCTCAATATTCAGAATGAGCTCCTGATATCTGCTTCGGGTCACTCTGCCATGTATGGTTTGAATTCTCAAATACCGTCCTAGCTCCTTTGTCAATGGAATAGCAGCTTTGCCACTCAGCCTTTAAGCTCGAAAAAGGGCAGATGTTGGATGACATGTACATCACGGATTTGGAATAATTCAATTTCTGAATAGAGCTCTTGCATAAATCGTCAAGGCATTGGCGAATGATCCTCACTTGCGGCCCCTCAGCACCTGCAAACAGAATCAGATCATCAGCAAAGAAAAGATGGGTAAGCGTCGACCCGCCCGGCGAAATGCTCATGGGGTTTCCAAAGCTTTTCGCGGACAGCCTGATCAATTCTGTGAGAAAGACGCTCCATGCAAAGAACAAAAAAGATATGGAGAAAGAGGGTCTCCTTGTCGCACACCCCTCGTGGGGGTAATGGGTTGAGAGCTCGCCGTCCCAAAGGATCCTCATCCGGTTCTGATCCACACAAAACATAATGCATTGGATCCATGTACTAGGCAAACCAACTTCCACCAACGTATCTCTCAGGAAGTCCCATCGGAGCCTGTCATAGGCCTTCTCCAAGTCAATCTTGATCACCATGCCACCCTTCTTTCATCGTTTCTTCCTTAGAGAATGCATGACCTCTTGAACTACAAAGATATAATCTGCAGTTTGCCGGCCTAGAATGAAACTACTTTGTCGAGGAGAGACAAGCTTCTTCATGACCGCTTTCAGCCTACTCGTCATAGCCTTAGTAATGGCTTTCAAGCTCACATTATTAAAAGAGATGGGGCGGAGGTGAGTCACATATTCCGACTTTTCTACTTTAGGAATGAGAACAACAGTCGACTCCGAAATGGCCGCTGGAAAAATACCATTCTCGAAAAAAGATAAGGTCGTTTCTGTGAGGGCTTTCTCAACAACCCGCCAAACCTGTTTATAGAATACTGCTTGAAAGCCATCAGGTCCTGGAGCCTGCTTAGGTTTCATATAAAAAATAGTCTGGTGAATGTCCATTATCGAAAAAGGGCGAAGCAAACAAAGCCAATCTTCCTGCCCAAGCCGAGGGAAGGTTCCTTTGGGCATTGATCAACGTAATGGGACGCCTCCTGCAGGTAAAGGTTAGCGAAAAATCAAACACAAGCTTTGCGAGCTCCTGTTTGTCCTGAACCCACTTCCCATTCTCATTTTTCAAGCATTCTATCTTGTTTAGGCAGCGCCGAATGTTGGTGATTTTATGAAAATACGTCGTGTTCTCCCGCCATACATATGTTATTACCAACACAGACAAAGTCATGGCCATTATAATGAAATTAGGAACAAATTCACAAAAAGAATATATATGGATCATTCCTTGGAGCTCTAATTTTTCATTTGAGCTTGCAACAACATGACTCTTAGTAGACGGCGTGATTGCACCAATTATGTTTAACATAAAAAAATAGGTGGCATTAATTTAAGGGTTTTTATAATGTAAGAGAAGTTCAGTTGGGATACTATAACTAGGTTACATGTAAGTTTATGTGATTAGTTTTGGGATGAGTAGTAATACATGTTCTATAGGTGGGGCAGGTATACATGGATACTCTCCTCGACCAACAGTTAACCTGTCATGACCCGTCTAATTTTTTACCCATTTTTATCTAAGTTACATGTAAGTTTACTCAAATTACTTGGTATTTTAATTAATTACCTCAAATTTAACTATAATGAAGTAAAATATGTGAGAATCTAAAATTTTTGAATAATTAATTATATTTAGCATATTACACTTTCAACTTAATTTTTTAATGATAAAATTATTATTTCTAATATTTTTCTTTTAAATTACATATTCATATGAGTCGACTTGCAGCAATCCTTTTCCGTAATAAATTACCCTACTGGCTACTACATATACTCAACCTGCCACGAAGAATATAACGTTGCTACCTGCATGGCCATTCCTAACTATGATAGTAAAGAGTTAAAGGTTGAGGGATGAGAGGTGAATTAATCCAAAATTGTGATTTGCGTGAATTCCAAATCGGAGGGTTAAGCAAACAAAGAAAGGAAAAGAAGATGAAACCCAAATCTAAAGCAGCGGTCGTGGCGCTGAAGGAAAATCCCGCCTTTCGTTATTTTTATTTTTTTTCCTTTTTCTTCTCCTCTCCCTTTCCGCTCAATCTCTCTCTCTCTCTCTCGATCTCCCCCTCCTCTCCCTTTCGTTCCTTTCCGCACAAAGGCACGTTCATCGTTCATGGAAGCTCTCAAACAAACAAACCAGGAAACCTGGAAAGAGATTCAAATGTAGCCAGCAGCGATAGCAGCAGCACCAGAAGAAGAAATCAACACAAGAATGTGTCTCCTTCTCCGCCGTTCTCATCGATCTCCTTCTTCTGTTTCAGGTTCCGATCGCTCGCTTTCTCTCTCTGTTGTCATTTTAATGAGATCTTATGATTCTCTATACCTTTCGAGTCCCGACATTGTTTCAATGGTGGAAAACGCCTGTGAGCTTCCGGTAGATCCAATGCCGCTTTGTTTTTTTTTTTTTTTAGAATTCCGCATAGGCCAGCTGATCTTTAGAAACCTCAGATGGTTATTTTGGATCTTTTGGGCGACTTGGAATTGGCTTTGCTGCTAATTCTTGTTGGCATTTGCTTCAATTCATTGCTACTTTCTGTGTATCTAGATAACGAGAGATTTCAATTCAGCTTCTAATTGTGCATTCAAGTCTCTGTGTTGCTTCATTTCTCCCCGTGGTCATCTGATTCAGGTTATTCCTCCTTAGATAACCGATAGCTATAAATATTTGGAGGATTCTACACGAATGCAGAATTGTATTGCAATTCCCTCCTTTTCATTTCCCTCACACTTCTCAGTTAGTAATGTTCTCCATTATGTCTGTCCTTAGGTGGGTTATGATCAACTAGAGGCGCCACGATGTTTGAAGAAGGAACCGCGTTTGTTTGGAGGCTGATGACCAGCTCCGAGTCATATGGCCCGTTTCTTTTCCGGTGGTTCTTAACTGCAGCATTGGGTGTTCTGGCACTTGCGTATGCGATCCTTATATGGCAGAGAAGGACATCACTGAATTGGGTTAAAGCAGCTGCTAGAGCAAAGAAAGAAGCTTGGAAGAAACTGAATGTTCCTCGATCATCTCATTCGTGGATGGAAGATTTAGCACAGATTAGGCTGCCTTCCACTTGCTGTGTTTGCCTCACTTCCTTAGTGTCACCAACTAACGCATCGAAATCTGCACCCCACAGTACCTCTTCGGTCCATCGTTGCTCTGTCTGCGGTGTTGCTGCTCATTTCTACTGTTCGGAGTTTGCTGCAAAGGACTGCAAGTGCGTCGCCCAAGCTGGATTCATTCAAGTCCAGCACCAATGGTCGGAGAGATGGTCTAAAATGGAGGAAATATCAGAGATGTCTGCCTTTTGTTGTTACTGTGATGATCCTTGTGGCGTTCCTTTCGTTACTGACTCGCCCACGTGGCACTGCCTATGGTGTCAGCGGCTTATACATGTCAAATGCCATTCTAAGTTGTCAAAAGAATCTGGAGATGTTTGTGATTTGGGTCCCCTAAGTCGAATTATTCTCTCTCCACTCTGTGTGAAGGACCTGGATGATAAAGGCTCTTCAAGTTCTACCCCAGAGGAAATCCCAGTTTCTACATTTCGTGGACAGCTGAGAAGGAGGCGCACCCGGGGTAAAAATGGAAACAATCACTCTGCCAATGGTAAGTTGCAAGATGCACCATCAGCTACAACTAAGGCCCTGGATTATTTGCTAAATGGGCTTGTTAATCTGAAGAAATCCGGAAGTGACAAAACCAGCAACAATCGCAACAAGAGGGATGGCAGATCTAATGGTCCAGTCAATGGATTGACACACAAGAAAGATGGAACTACCTTCAACAGTCAACTTAAAAGATATGCTTTGGTCAATCTATCTCAGGATGCAAGACCCCTTCTTGTTTTTATTAATTTCAAGAGTGGAGGACAACTCGGTTCTTCTCTCCGAAGTAGGCTGAACTTGCTGTTAAATCCGGCTCAGGTTCATGCCTAAGCTCTTTATTACCAGTAGTCACTTTCATTGAGATATGTTTACAGCAAAATGCATTTCTTCTTTCACCCCTTTGTTTATTTTTTTTCCATTGCTCAAATTGGCCCTTGTTCTCATCTGGTGCGACATGTCTGCTTTGGGACTCATTTTAGTTAATCCTACAGGACAGCAATGAGACATTAAAAATTGACATTGTACTATAATTGGTTAAATTATTGCTTCAATGGAGTAATTTTTTCCATGCTATCTAGTTTCTTTATATGCAATTCACTCTTTGTGTTTCTGTAAATGGATGGATTACTGATCAGCATTGCCGTACTACAGGTGTTTGAACTAAGTTCTTCTCAAGGGCCTGAGGCTGGTTTGCAGCTGTTCAGCGATGTGCAGTATTTCAGGATTCTGGTTTGTGGTGGAGATGGCACAGTTGCATGGGTCCTCGATGCAATCGAGAGGCATAATTTCGAATCCCCTCCCCCTGTTGCTGTGCTTCCTCTTGGCACGGGGAATGATTTGTCAAGGGTATTGCAGTGGGGGAGAAGTTTCAAAATGGCAAAGCGACAAGGTGGCTTGTGTGCTATTTTGCACGAGGTCGACCATGCTGCAGTTACAATGCTAGATAGATGGAAAGTAAATATTATAGAGGAGAACCTAGAAGGGCACACGAAGAACGAACAATCAAAGTTCATGATTAACTATTTAGGTATCAATCTACCCTTGGTGGTGGTTGCAACTATCTTACATGATTCTCGACTATTGCATGGCAATCACTCATTGGCTGAGTTTGATTTTTGCAGGGATTGGGTGTGATGCTAAACTAGCGTATGAATTTCATGTAACTCGGCAGGAAAAGCCTGAAAAATTTAGCAGTCAGGTAAACTACGATATGCCTGAAGAGTTGGGGAGACATTGTGTTTATTATGAAGAAATCATGTATGTATTCATCTTGGTAACTTTGGTATTGTATTGTGCTGGTCAGTTTGTGAATAAATTACGATATGCTAAAGAAGGTGCGAGGGACATAATGGACAGAGCTTGTGCAGATTTGCCATGGCAAGTGTGGCTTGAAGTTGATGGAAAGGACGTTCAGATCCCTAAGGTATGCATGCACCGCCATATATTACATTGCAGTTCAAGTTCTCTATTTATGTGGCTTTGATTTTGAGAAATATACAATTTTTATATTTTCAAAATCCTTCTGTTTTCCTGCCGTCCAGGATACTGAGGGTTTAATTGTCCTGAACATTGGCAGCTACATGGGTGGAGTGGATCTGTGGCAAAATGATTATGAGCATGATGATGATTTTACCCTTCAGTCCATGCAAGATAAAATGCTCGAGATTGTATGCGTTCGGGGAGCCTGGCACCTTGGGAAAATCCAGGTATTGAGTTGTACTCCATCATACCGAATGTTGTTAACCACAGGCATATGTGTTTTCCTTAATTGAGATGTACGACAATTCAGCATGTGAACTAGGAGCTTACTATTGAAATCTCTTGAAATTTAGCAACATAGTTCAGAGACTCAATAGCGAATACTACTTTGTTGATGGGCCAAAATGTCTTATCTTTTCTCATATGCTGTTCCTCTCATCTTGTAAAATCATACATCGCCTCACTTCGTTTAGTTGCAAAGTGATTTGCAGATCCAAATGCACTAGCTGTAACCTAGTTTTTTTTTTTTTTTAATTCTGGGTTTAGGTTGGACTTTCGCAAGCAAGGAGGTTAGCACAAGGGAATGTTATCAGAATACACGCTTCGAGCTCATTCCCAGTCCAGATAGACGGGGAGCCATTCATCCACCAGCCGGGTTGCCTAGAAATTAAACACGACAGCCAGGTAAGGAATGATAGTTGTATCAGAATGACGAACCAAAAAAATATCAAGTGATAATGTGTTGTGGGAGTTTTGTTGCTGCGAGAGAGGGAGTTTCAGTTATAGTTTGGGTTTTCTTTTGGTGTTTATTCCTCTTGCGGTTGGTGCAGGTTTTCATGTTGAGGAGAACACTGGAGGAGCCAAGAGGGCACGCAGTTGCGATAATGACAGAAGTATTGGCGGACGCAGAGTGCAAAGGAATCATCAACACATCGCAACGGAAGATCCTGCTGCAGCAATTGGCTCTCAACCTCTCCTGAGTTCCGGATCCAGACGACGAGTCCTCATTCGACTCGGATTAACAAAGCTCGTCACCACGGCTTTTTTTTTGCTTCATTAACATTGCCTTAGCTTCTCACGATACTTGTTTCTAATCTTTTTGTTTGGTATATAGGAGTCGATCACACTCACAAAAGCACATTATTGATTCCTAGAGTAAATCTTTTTGCTCCCTAGCCAGGCCCAACTGTCAGATGACAAGGAAACTGGCAGTTTGAAGGGAAAGAAAGGCCTTGTAACAGAACAGAGAAGAAAAGCAATAGTGTACCATTAAAAATATCACAGTTAATACGAATTCCGATCCTATGATCATTCATGTACTGCTTCAGTGTAGTTTGCAGAATAGTATGAACTGATTAGCTACGTGACCGGATCATGTGCCTCGTATTGCCTAAGCTCCATCCAGTTTTTGGACTGTGAGAAATCAATGTAGGGGTCCAAAACACTGCTCTAAATGAGTAGTGTTACTAATTTACTACACAACAGAACCGTTTGTACAGTCATTTGCATTAACCTGTCTACACAAGATGCAAATGTACACGATTATTTATTTACTACAACATCTATGTACTTATATATCAAGTCAGTGAGTAAGTGAGTGAATGAATGAATGTGTTGTATAAGATATTCTGACCAGTCTCAGTCTTCCATGACCAATATGGCTCCAGTGTGATTGAACCCGCATGAAATTTGCACAGCTCTCACATTTTCGCCGAAATTTACAACCGTAGGGTTTATATAATCTACATCACTTCCATGTCCCTGTGTATCAAAACGTAACGAACTTTAGCCCCAGGAAGACAAGTGAATTTCAAGTAAGACCATGGTTTTGCTTCAGAGAATGAAATGTAGCCCACGAAAACAATGGATGGTGGTTACAAACCAATTGGCCTCCAGAAGATTGACCGTCTTCTGAAAATGTTCCATGAGAGCCTCCCCAACCCCAGGTGAAGACTTTGCCTTCTGCGTGCGAAAAAAAAAAGACAGATAAAATCACTTCAACTGTTCTGTAACAGCATTCTTCTACCTTATCGTGAAAATAATTAGGTAATTTATTAAACTTGGTACGAACTATGTGTTAAGTTTAGGATTAAGCAAAAAGCACTGACCAGATATAGCCGCAGTGTGCTTCCAACCACAGGATACCTGTCAGATTGGAATTAGTGGATCATCAGAATGCTTATTACCCTATGTCCAGGAAAAAGAATGGTGATTGTTGGCAGGAGTGATTACTTAAACAGGTTGAAATTGGTGGTTGTCCCTGAGTAAAATTGTGGGAGGGTGAAAACGCAGGATGAAAGTTATTGGAAGTATATTTTATCTTAAGAAATTTGGTTCTTAGTTTCCTACTTGCTGTAACCGTCGGATAATTTTTTTTGTTAATAGTCAACAGGCAGACAATTTGTATACCTTGTCGACAGATGATTTCTGGAAAGGTCCTTCGACTTTTTCTGGTAGACCAAAGGCATCAATGGTGCTGTAAACAAAGACAACTCAACTCAATTGGCAGGAAATTATATAATCACTCTTAGAAGGGGAGACAAGCCAAATTCTAGTTCTTAACTTCAAGGTTCAACGACAATACCCGATACCAAGGCAACCATTTTCGTTTGAGCCCCAAGCGTACAGCTCTCCAGCACCTATTCAAGAATGAAAGACTGATTACACAAATACTTGTAAGTTCACATATAGGGTACCAAAATGATTTTCCAGAAACGTTCCAACTCGAAGAATGAATCTCTTCACCTTCACAGTTAAGGACCAAGAAGCATAAAAAAGGTTCTCTGTTAATTTTCTTGCGAATGTAATAAGTTGCATTTCTTGAGGATTTGGCCGATATTTCAGAGTTAGGGAGTACTAAACAAGACTACTAGTGGAGACACGAACAAAAACTTCTTCCTTGCAGATTTTACTGGATCGGTACTTAAATGGCTTATAATTATAACAAGCTATGGAATCCTGAACTTTCAAGGAATTACCTGTGACAACACAAGTGTGATAGCCACCACATGCAACTTCTTCAGAAGATGGCAGCATATCAAGCATGGATGGGGTATTGGCATTTTTTTCATCTCCAAAGCGCTACATATACCAGAGAAAAAAACAAAGTTAAATCCTAAATGAATGGCCATAGTTCAGGTTGCTAAAGAAAGCAATAAACAAACAGGAAACCACTCTTGGTGCATACCAATTTACTGACAGCTCTTTCACCAAATATGAAAACAGATCCATTTTCTGCAAAAAGTGGTAATGGAAAGGCAATAGATATGATTGACAAAGCATAGAAGATACCAGAAATCGATGATATCAAGATAACCTTCTAAAAGAAATTACCACCAACGCATGCTGTATGAAGCAAGCCAGCAGACACCTTTTTCACCTAAAGCATTCATCAGAGTCGCCAAAGAAAAAAACAGAGGGCAAAGTGACCATAAATTATTAAACAGGACATTCAATAGAAATACATCAATCTACTGTTCAAATTTAAACAAGAATCACCTTACAACCCTCAAGTTTCTTAATGCGCCGTGGTACATATTCACTGCATTAAAAGACATTTAAATGCTTAAGAAAGTTGTACAAAAGAAAACATAAGTAGTGTCGTTTTAGCTTTTCAGCGTCTCTAGGAAGGAGAAAGTAAAAAAACTAATTGTCAGCTTATGAATCTAACAAGATGGGGGACCTAGCATTACAAGGAAAATTATACCGCATAATTCAGTTTGGGTCTTAAATTGATTCCAAGGAGAACAATTATTAGCAGAGAAATAGTCCACAGATGTCCATAAGCCAAGATCAGTGCTATGACCAAGAGAAACTGAAGGAGATCCAAAGAAGAAACCGAAACACTAAATCAAACCTCTTGCTTTTCAGGAATCCCAGAATGCCTGCTTCACCGCTATGACCAAGCTGTCCAGAGTCACCTCCTCCCCAGCTCAAGGCATCACCATCATCTGTTCAGCAGTAAGAACTATTGAAGATTTTACACACAATCTAATCCTTGTAAGTCGAAAGAACTAGCATTGAAGAACAAGAGAGATCTTCTCCTTCTATTAAGTACTAACCAGTAACAGCAACTGAATGCTCCGAAGCCAAAGCTACCATTTTGATGGAAATCCCACTCAACAATTCTACTTTTGTTGGTATACAAACTGATTTTCCCGCCTCTGCATACAACACTTAATGCATTACATCCTCCAGGTCAAGGACAAAAACGCCTGCTCGTCAACTAATTAACTACACAAAAGGAAGCCAACTAAGTAGCTGGTATATAATCAACATTCCAAGCAAAATTACTTTTTCCCAGACCAAGCTGTCCATTTGAGTTTCTTCCCCAGACATAGAGTTCTCCATCGACTGCAAGAGAGAAACAAACATGTCTAATTAGATAAAAATGAAGCATAGAGCAGAAAGACGAGGACAATATCACTTCAAATAGATCCATAAGAATACGAAGGATATGATTCCACTTGAACTAATATGAACGGATCCATAAAAAATGCTTGACTAAGAAACAGCGATCCTGGTTAATGATTACAGTTAGAAGTTAGGGTTCAGTGAATGCATTGAGCTCTATGTATATTGAAAAAACAAATCCAGAATGACTTCATATGTAAACTAGTAATCGTCTGTGAAATAACATACTTCATGTTGAATGTTATGCTGGATCCCTGAGTACCTAGATTACTCTTCATTGTCATCCACATAGATACTTTAGCAAGTAAATGATGGTTTTCTTATCAGGGTTACAGAACTGACCGTCATAAGAAATAAAAAGGTGTTTCCATTCCACATATTGCCTTCACCGAATCGAAGGTATTAATGTTCTTTCACCTCCATTTCAGCAGGGGACAACTTTTCACATGCCCTCTTTCAACTTTTATGTCTTAACATTGGAACTGGAAATTTGCAGTTTATGCAAACAATAATTGTTGTTGAACCAGCTAACCTGTGATAGCACCAGAATGATGATAACCAGCAGAAATTTGCACAATTTCCTTCTCCAGTCCTGAAACTAGCACCGGCTCCTGTAAAATCACGAAAGAGATCAAACTAATGAAACAATTGTTGTTCACAAAAACCAACCACATAGACAAGGCAATCAGCTACTAACGAAAGTCATTAATCTCTTTCTTCATATATCCTTTCAGTTAGTTTTTTATGTCGCTGTAGTTTATTGGTGCAAATTATAGATAATTTAGTCAATAATAATATTATATGTTACGTATAGGACCATGAGAAACAGAGTAACAAGCTAAAGGACAGCATAAGGGTCTATACTAATGACTTCTTACAAAGGAAACGGGCATCACATCTAATCGTCCAATTCTCTAGAAGATAACTGTCTTCAAGAGTGCTATTCTTTTTTCATTTCTTTTCTTTTCACTGCCCCCTGGCATGTGCTAAGAGGCTTTTTTTATCATAACTCAAAACAATAATCCGATAGCCACGCTAGTCAAACATTGATACCCATTAGGAAACTATAGGTATCTTTCTTGGGTCAGGATGAGATCCAAGGTGATTAATTTCAATGGATTCCTTCACTAGCAAGACAAAGCTAGCAATAAAATGTCTGTAGGAAATCCTACCACCATCTGAATGACAGTGAAGGCAAGGGCTTCCATTCTGACAGTTTACATCTCTAACTAACAACCATAATCATCACAATCTAAAGCAAGTGGGTAGTAGATGGAGAGCTGAATAATTGCAATCCATCTTGCGACTTCTAACGAAACCCATTGTTCATGAAATACATTGTGTCAGCGAGCGTCCTACTAGCAACTATAATCTAAAAGCCATAACAAAACTTTAAGTCAACCCGTTCCTTTCTGCTAGCCTAACAAAGAAGTGGAGACTCCTAACAGGTCAAAGTGCAGTCCTAGGCTCCTAGCACATAAAAAAGCCATCCATAAAATTTGAAGCAGGAAAGAAATTTATATGGATTATATTAAAGAAGATCAAGATATTAGATATTGTACTGTACCGTCACATAACTACTGCTGTCTGATATGCCAAGTTGTCCAAAATCATTAAGACCAGTGGCAAAAACTTGCCCAGATTCTGTCAAAGAAGACTACACTTTGTAAGCCTTACTCTGATTTAAGGCTGACAAATCCACAAATTCTCAAAAAAAATCAGGGAGCTAGGATGAATAGTAATGCTAATCAAATACACAGGGGGAAAAACATCCATCGCAGCAAGCAGGGCATCAAAGCCATTCCAAATTGTGCCATGTGACCAGACGCAACGATTTTTATGGCCGACTAAGTTCGATCAGAACATCATGCAACAGAGACCAGCACTCCATCCCTAATCATCTATTGAAATAAACCTAGTCGTGGAAAATCTCAAACACACTGCTTCCTTGTAGTATTTTACTATGATTTCACAGAATGACAATTCAATTCCAGCACCAAGAATATGATGATAAGAAGAAGAATAAATACCTGTTAAGAAGAGCGTGTGAGCTCCGCCACAGGCAATAGACTTGAGCGTTTGGTCTCGGAAGGATGACGGGAAAAGAGGCTTGGGCGTTGATTGAGAATCCAAATTACCGAATCCCAACCTGCCATAATCACCGTTCCCCCACAGCGCGGCGAATCTGGTCCCGGCAGCGGGTGATGACATCCATCTCGTTCCTGTTTCCCGCAGACGGCGGAGCAGAGGGATGCCAAGTTTAGAATTCGCCATTACTGAATTGCGAGCAAGACTGCGAGAGGAGAAAGCTTTCAGGTGTAAGGAGTCAAGGAGATGAGACTCTTAATCTCTCTATCTCTCAGTGCCGACGGACGATCGATTCAACTGTGAGGAAGTTGGTAGACGATCTCATCTCACTCTACACTTCACTTCCTTTCCGCGGCTTTCAACTGCGCAACGTCTCCATTCTGCCTTCCACACCCGCAAATAGGGATGGCAATGGGTCGGGTTGGGTCGGGTTTTGCCAAACCCAAACCCATGGGTTTATCTTTGAAAAAAACCCAGGGTAAAATCCACTGGGTTTGAAAAACTCAAACCCAACCCAACCCGTTGGGTATCCGCGGGTTCATGGGTACCCACGGGTTTTGTCGTAAAAAATTTACAATTACAAATTCTTATCAAAATTAAAGTCAAATATCAATCTCTCAATACAAATTATCCATATATAAAACACCATTCTAGAAAATTCAAGCAAATCACAAATTAACTATACAAATTGTTCAACACCAATCTAGAAAACTCAAGAACTTCTTCCTTTCAATTAAGTTTCTTTACTCTCCACTCCATAACATCAACTTCATTCTACACAATTAAAAAGAAAAAATTAGACATGTCTCCACAAACATAAATAAGATTAGTTGTTTTGAATATTAAATATACCGAAAAAATTAATTATATAGGTGGGCGGGTACCCACGGGCCGGGTTTACCTAAACCCAAACCCAACCCAACCCGTTGAATAGTGAACGGGTTTAACCCAAACCCGGCCCAAAACCCGTCAACACGGATTTTACCCGCGTTGACCGGGTTGGGTCGCGTGGATACCCGTGGGTTCGGGTTTTGTTGCCATCCCTACCCGCAAAGATGAGGAAATATTAAAGACGTGACTGTGCTTACTTGATTACACGTAAGAACCGAGACCAAAGGAAAAAAGAGAAATCAATTGAAAACTAGCTTTCAATCTGGGCAATTGGCCGCAAGATGACTTTTAAGTTTGGCAAAATACACTTGTATAGTTAAAATTTTAACGGTTTGGTCAAATATAGCCACATTTGATGAAATACCAAAAATAGTCACTTTCGTTCAATTGGTTGACTGTGTTAGTTAACGTGCTAATTGGACTAACGGATCGTCTCATGTGGCGATTTTTGACCTGTACGTATTTCCCACGTGGATTTAGTAATAAAAAAAATTAAATAAAAGAACAATAATTAAAATTTTATATTTTCAAATGGTGGTCTTTTGAATTGTGGAAAATAAAAACAAATTGTTGGGGGCATATGAGGTAGGGCCCAAATAAGGGGCCAAGGTGTCACCATGGGCTGGGAGTGTGGGCCTGGCAAGGGGGAGGCCCGGCCCAAGAAAGGGCTAGAGGCCATGGCCCAGACGGTGGGACCAGGCCTAAGGGGGGGCGCATGACGACAAAAGGGGGGCAACGATCAGAAGCGTACGGAGGAGACAAGGGGTGGGGCCGTGCGCCTCGTGGGTGCAGATCGGTGTCAGAGTGTCGGGGCGCCTGGGGGGAGAAAGGTACAGTGCATTTAATGAGGTGATGACGTAGGGCGGATTTGGGGGGGACTGGTCGACCCTACCCCGAGTATAAATAGTGAAGTGGGTGGAGCTCATTTACTCAGGTTCCAACTTCTCTCTAAAACTTGCATCTCACTTCTCTCTCTAGAAAGTTCGTTCTAACTTGGGCGTCGGAGTGCTAACGAGCCCTTGCCAAACGGTTCGGTGCGCGCCTTCGTGTGCAGGGGACGGACGCGGAGCGGAGGCGCTGAGGTAGCGGGAGGAGCACGAGAATCATCCGAGGCGGAAGGCGTACGTGGCACAAACAATTGGCGCGCCAGGAAGGGGCGGGGGGTTCGCAATGATTCTCACCCGCACCGGCTTTCGCGGGGCGGGTTGAGACGTCCCAGCCGGCGCCTTGCTAGTCTTGCCGCGCTTCCGATGCGCCTTTGGCGGAATGAGGTGGATCTTCGAACGGATAAGATCCGAGATGTTGGTGAACACGGTGCCTGCAAAAAAGGACAAGAAACATATCAGTCAAGGCGCATGAAATGTGAAAGGGCGCGCAAGCCAGGCGTAGGAAACTACCATCGTTGTAGAACTCCGCTAAATAGCGGGCGTAAGCATCGTCTTTCTTAAGGCTTATCGGCGCGGACGAAAGGCGCCGCGCCATATCTTCCTCTGCCTGGTTTAGGACAGGATGATTGTTGAACTCAGTTTCGTCCCCGAAGGTCCACCGAGTCAGAGGGGCGGCGCCGCTTTCAAAGAAGGGCGTGTCTCGTGGGCGGATGAAGAAATAAGACTCAAACCACGAGCGCCCCATTTTCTTGCCCTTGCTTATGAAGTGATACCCCAACTTGGAGCGCCTTTGTAGGCTGAAGCAATTGGGGCTTCTAACCATGGTGAAAAAATGTTGGAAAAGTTTGAAGGAGGGAAGGATGTTGTGTTGACGGCACTTGAGGCGGAAGAGGACGGTGTATAGGATGATGACAGGCGAAAGGCGCCCAAGGGAGCACTGGAATAGATGCAGCACGCCCTCAAGAATGGGGTCGATAGGGAACCGGAGCCCGAAGCGAGCGTACTCTTGGTATACGCCGATCCACCCTTCCCCGCAAACCCCCAAGCGCGCAATTGGTGAGGGGTGCGCGTAACGCCAGTCAGCGGGCATCTGCGCCGCTTGAATTAGGGAGATGAAGCGAGAGTATAAAATCTTGGAGGCGTGAGGCGGCCCGGCGTCTTCCTCGGACATTCGATCGATGTCCGTGGGCATATACCCAGGTGGCCACATGTTGCCCCACTGGCTTATCCCGAATTCGCGAGGCGCGCCGGTGCCTAAGTAATAAGAAAAGGAGGAGGTCAAGAGGGGCGCTCATGAGGAAGAAGGCTAGGAGGAAAAGAAACACTCAAAATACGATGCGCAAGGCGCTTGGGAGACAAAGAGGGTAATCGATCCTTTCCTTGGAACAGCTAGTGTGAGGCGTAACGCGCGAAACTCAATGCGTGCGTAAATAGAGGGGATAGGGCGTGTGGGTACCTGGGGCAGCGGCAGGAGTAGATGAAGGCGCCGCGTTGAAAGGCGCAACGTTTGAAGGCCCCGCGTTGGTAGGCGCCGCAGTTTGAGGCGCCGCAGCCTGAGGCGCGGCATTGGGAGGCGCAGCATTGGTGGGCGCCGTCTTGGGAGACCCAGGTTGGTTAGAGGAGGCCATGAGTGTGGTAGAGAAGGTGAGGAGCAAGAATGGCGAGAAAGGGTAAGGCGCCTAACACAAGTGGCCGAGAGATGTGGCCGAGTGGTGCGAAGAGCAGTGGGGGGCAGAGCAGAGCAAGGCTTAGAGAGATAAAGTAGAGAGAAGGTGAGTTTTGACAAAGTGAGGAAGAAAGAGGTGGTGGGGGGCAATTTATAGGCGAAGAAAGAGGGAGAGAGAGCTGGGTTGTGGGAGCCGAACAGTCACCTAGGCTGAAGCGAATTCAAAATTCGACGTTCGAAATCGCTTCAGCCTGGGGGGGAGAATGGACCGGGGATCGAGGCGGGAGCCCAACGGTCTGCCCACAATCAAGGCGGAAGCCCAACAGTCGGCCTACAATAAATGAAAAAAAAATTGATGAAGAAAGAGGGAGAGAAGGGCGCGTTAGTTGGCAGGAAGGGCGAAAACCTAAAAGCGCTCCGCGGAAGGAGAGTGTTGGCAAGGCGTGCTCTCTGGAGAAAGCCAGGGAGCCAAGGGCATTGGAGCAGGGAGGCGCTGCTGGAGACGCATTGGTTAATTAGGCCCCCACCGAGCGGTAGGCGCCTAACTGGGGGGCAATTGTTGGGGGCATATGAGGTAGGGCCCAAGTAAGGGGCCAAGGTGTCACCATGGGCTGGGAGTGTGGGCCTGGAAAGGGGGAGGCCCGGCCCAAGAAAGGGCTAGAGGCCATGGCCCAGGCGGTGGGACCAGGCCTAAGGGGGGGCGCATGACGACAAAAGGGGGGCAACGGTCAGAAGCGTACGGAGGAGACAAGGGGTGGGGCCGTGCGCCTAGTGGGTGCAGATCGGTGTCAGAGTGTCGGGGCGCCTGGGGGGAGAAAGGTACAATGCATTTAATGAGGTGATGACGTAGGGGGGATTTGGGGGGACTGGTCGACCCTACCCCGAGTATAAATAGTGAAGTGGGTGGAGCTCATTTACTCAGGTTCCAACTTCTCTCTAAAACTTGCATCTCACTTCTCTCTCTAGAAAGTTCGTTCTAACTTGGGCGTCGGAGTGCTAACGAGCCCTTGCCAAAGGGTTCGGTGCGCGCCTTCGTGTGCAGGGGACGGACGCGGAGCGGAGGCGCTGAGGTAGCGGGAGGAGCACGAGAATCATCCGAGAAGAAAGGCGTACGTGGCACAAACACAAATAAATAAAATAAAAAACACTTATTTCCTCCCAAGTCTCAACCTACCCTCTGTTCTTATTTCCATCTGCCATCTCCCCCCACCTCCATCGACGGCAACCTACCCTACGTTCTCATTTTCCTCCGCCCACTCCCCATCTCCATCGCCAGCAAACACCCCAAATGAAGTACCTGAATCCTCCACCGTCGCCGTCGCTTTCTCCTCCTTCCTTAAATCCTCGTCCACCGTCGAAACCGCTATCTTGTATCTTCACATCCGCCTCCAAATCCGCGATATTCATTTCGATTCCTCCCAACCGACCTCCATTGCTCGCTTCGCTCACCAAAATTACCTCCTCTCATCATTGATTTCATGCATAGCTGGAATTTGATTTCCAGATTTGATGAATTTCTGGTGGGTTGCTCGATTCTTCCCTACGACGGCTCTGCGGCCAGACCAGGCCGGGAATGGAGTTTCGCTGGGTTCTGGAGTTTTGATGGAAGAGGTTTCCCCTCAGCTCTTTGGCGCCCTCGCAAAGCTCTTCTCCAGCTGGGAAGAAATGGAGGATTAAGGACCTGGTATCGGTTTCAATTAGAGCGATCTGTCGCTGTCGATCCTCCGCCACACCAACAGCCTCGTCCCTTCACCTTCTTCCTTCGCTTCTATTTCAATTAGATACGAGAACGATTTGCTGCTGCCAATCCCCTGTGCTCTTCTTGGTCGAACATGAGTTATTCAGTTTAGGGATTTTGGATGAATTAGAGAACTCGATTTGGGGTTCTTCTAAGTGGAAGAGAGAAGAAAGGGTCCTAGGTTTGGTGTTCTTCTTACTCACCCAAGAGCTCTACCCCTTCTAGTCTCCGATTCCAGCTCTCACAAGGGTAAATAAATACATCAGCGATAGGGAGGGGGCGAAGATGACATCAAAGTTGCCACCTCTGCATCTGTCTGTCTCTCACAATCGCCACCTCTCTGACGACGAACAGAATGACGGGGGATGGGTGGTGGGAGCTGGATTTCTATTTGACGCCCTAATTTTTTAAAATTTTCGCCCTAAATAAACCAAATAGACGATATTACCCCCAATTACTCAAACGCCCAATCAATTGCCCTAATCCCTAATTTAGCTTTGCTAGTCGCCGGTGGAAGGAAAATCCGGCGAATGATATTCACCAACAGAATTCGTCACCCACGCCCTTAACCAATCTCCCGCGGCTGCTCTACTGCTTGGCTGACGAAATCCTTCACCAATCTCGCACGGCTGCTCTGCCACTCCACCGATCGAGGACGCTGAAGAGATTAACGAATCACAACTGCCTCTTCTACTGCTGAGTTCTGAATCGCCGGGTTCAATCGTCTTACGATCGATGAGTTTCAGAGGAGGAAGAAGGAATCGCCCCTGGTTTTGCTGGTTTCTTCTCAGTCGCGGAAGGAGGAGGAAGAAGATGAATCGTCGCTGTTGAGGAGGAAGGAGTGTGAGATTGGTCGAGGACTTCCAGGGAGAATGGGGGCGATGGGGGAGGACTTCCAGGCGGGCGGTGGCGACGGGCAAGGACTTCCAGGTCAACGGCGGGAATGGGCTTGTTCGCCGGCGATGGGGATCCTAGGGCGATGAAGCTTCTGATATTTGTTTAGGGATTAGTGTTTTTGGGAATTTGATCAGAGATTTAAATTATTGTGGGGCAAAAATGTCAACTGATCAAAGTTAGGACGATAAATTTAAAAAGTTAGGGCGTTAATTAGTAACTCTCGGTGGGAGGTGGGGAGAGAAAGGGAAAATTAATTTATGAATTTTTTTATTTATTTTTTAAGTAAAATATGACATGGCGTCTAAATGGCAAGTGTGGTTGAGTTGTCGATGACGTGTCGAGTGAGTTGGCAGCCAGATTATCGTTTCGTTGATTTGACTAACGGTGTCACTGACGCCGTTAAATTATGTAACAGAAATGGCTATTATTGTCATCAAACTTTCAAATTTCTGGCTATTATTGGTATTTTCCCAAAAATGGCTATTATTGTCACAAACGTCAAAGTTTTGGCTACACAGATGAATTTTGCCTTTAAGTTTTAAACAAGATAACTTGGTTTACATCGAGGTATTGAAAAATCGTATAAAAAAGTAGAATTGTAGAGAATTTTACTAAAATTGTGGTTTAATAATTTGAACAGCTAAACACGCTTATGGTTTGAGGTTTAATATCAAGTATTTCTGGTCCAACCGACCGATATAATAGGGTTCCTAAAACATTTAATGTTTTTTAGCAAATATGAAATTTTTGTGTATTATTGTTATTTGTTAGAAGTGGGCAATAGGTGGATTGGGTGACTTTCAATCTCAAACTTGCACACCCGATGAGTAAGATTGTAGTAATATGGACATCTCTTACTTTCTTTTCTATAAATCCAATTACTATTTGTATCAAAACTTTCATTATTTCGTCAACCAATTGTGAAAGAAGATGACTTTGATACATTTAATAGTTCAGAATTTATATCTCAATATCTAAAACACATTACACAAAATAGTAACCAATTAATACAAACATATTCTTTATTTTCCGCCTTTAGAAGATGACACTCATTATGTAGTGTTGTTAAGAAATATGACGACTTTTTGGTAATATAAACAAGAACAACTGTTTTTTATGTGAAAATTATGTGAGGGTCATTATGGTGGCCCGCAACACTTTCTCAACTGAATAAGTGTGGATACGAGATTTATTGATCCACATCCAACCCATAATCACCCATTCATTTTGGTTTGGTTTAATTGCATGTGGATCGATATAAAATCGCATATTAACTACCCACGTGTCCACCCCTAATTATGATAGTACAAAATTGAACGATATTGATATAGTTTATAACTCTGGAGAATAGGACCTTTCCTCAAGTGTTATTAGGGTTGAGAAACGGTGCGGTCTGGTCCAGACCGGACCATATATGCGGTCTACTGTCCAGATCGAGAGGTTAGAGTATAGATCACAGACCAGACCATAGACTATACGGTTCAAACCAGACCCCGCCTGTGCGGTCTGATCCGGTACGGTTTGGTCTAGATAGACCACAGTGAACGAAAAATGAACAATTTAATTAGTCAACCGCACAAAAAAATTGAATCAATAGCCAAGAAAAATGTTTTTATTTCCTTAAAACTTAAATTCCTACATGCATGGATTATTTTGACACCATAAATCTTAGTAAATAATAAAGATACAAAGTCAAAACATCCCAACTTGCACCATAACATCATAAACATTTACATAATGTCATATGGAGACATGATCGTCTCTACTCTCTAGTGAAATGTGGTTGTGAATGAAGGAGGGGACGAGAATCTCAAAATTAAGATTGAGACTTGGGTATCGTTGTGGGAGTTGGGAGAGTGGTCTAGTGGGTTGCTAACACATATTGAGAAGTCTGTTGGGTCCACGGTTTGGTCCGGTAAACCGCGGCCTAGACCAGACCAGCCATGATATCAAACATCATATATTCATATAATATAGACCATGGACCAGACCAGAGTTCAGATCATACTTAACGGTCTACGGTTCAGATCATATATTCATATTATAGAAGTGGATGATATTTGTATATTTTAGTAACTCTAATCTGATAAATAGGAACGTGAACGTGATACATGAAATGTAAACCTACATGACCCGTGAATATGCGATTATGACAGTCTTTAATTTTTTATCAGACCAAGGCCTTGTTCGTTTAGGTGGGATTATTTTGAAGGTACTCCTAATAAACATGGCGATGTTGAAGGACCATGGTTTTACAAAACACAAGGATCGCCGGGTAGATCGATAAATGAGTAATGACCATAGAACATATCACAAACAGTATTCGAACTTAAAATTGGTTTTGAGTGAAGAACAAGATCTGAAGTAACTTCACGTCTCTGTTGAACTTAATTCAAACACATCCGGTACAGAGCAAAACTAGGAACCCTGATACCTCCCCCCCAGCTGACAAGAGCGACATTCAGCATCCATCAACAGCATCCATCTTCCAGTCAACCGTGTCAAATTGTCAACAGAAAACAGAACAAAAGCAAAAGAAAACCCTAGAGAATGGCTTTTTATCAAAGGAATAATACAACAGCATCAGGAACAAAAAAAAAAAAATCACGTTGCTGCTACTACTGTCAGCATTCATTTCTCTCCATTACCATTTACCACAGTACCTCTAGGGAAACATCAAACAGGCAACAATATGATCAGACGGCACAGAGAATTTGCTGCAACATAGAACCAAAAGGCAACGAGGAAATTAGTAAACCCATAAACAAGCACTGCCCTTTATCTGTCTAAGAAATAGGAATCAAACAGGCAACAATATGATCAGACGGCACAGAGAATTTGCTACTTCCCGCTGCCCACGCCAAGGCGCCATATCTGTATACCACACCACATCCATCATCAGTCTCAGAAACATCTAATTGATATTCAAAAGTTAGCTCATAGTTATACTACTCCAGCACCACGTAATTTAACAGTACAACAGATAACCAGCATAACATCAAAAAGATAGTCAAATGATGGGAGTCTCATCGCAGTATCCAGAATAATTCCCTTTCATATATAGAAAGAAGCTCTCCAACCTTGTGTCACCAGTAAAAAATGAGCCAATCTTTTCATCTCTTTCTTCCACCACGCTCTCTCAATGTCAGAGAAAGAGAATCTCCACCACCAACATTGTAATAAGCAAGGGTCATATTATCCTTCAGAAAACCAGCCTTCCCGCTCAATTTCTGCTTGTTTGCCGGCAGTTGAATCTCTCCAGCGATCTTCTCCTTCAGACTGCTAATAGTTTCAGACAAGGACTGCACCCTGATCTCCAGAACTTGACCTCTAAGATTCCCTTCATCATGATTCGGAACAGAGACATTGATGCTTGCAGGTCCCTGAAAAAAGAAAGCACAAATTAACCCATTGAATGGCAATAAATGACAACTCAACGCATAAAAAAGGCCGCGATAAGTATTTAGAAAGATCAAAGATAACAAATAATGCATACCGGATGATGGGCCAGAAATTGATCTTCTGGAACAAGCATTGAATCATCTAGCTTCTGCCTCTTAGGCTCCGGTTCTTCTGGAAGTGGTGGAGGAGCATCTTCAGGGGGAGGCGGTGGAGGCACTAGCCCCTGAGGCAAAGGTGGTGGAGGTGGCATTCCATGCATGGGTGGCGGAGGCATAGGAGGACCAGGAGCATAAGGCCGATGCATTTGTGGCATTTGAGTAAACTGAGAGCCAGGTGGAGGTGGTGGATTCATAGATGGCGGCATGGAGGATGGTTGTTGATTCATCATCATATGCTGCTGACCTGACATTGGAGGTGGTGGCGGCCGCATTGATTGCATCATTGGCATACCTGGTGGCCTTGGTTGAGGGACAGGATATCCACCACCACCCATTGGAGTTGAATACGACATGGTATTTGGGGGTTGTGGCATCCGGGGGACATTTAGGGCGAGTCCAGGTGGCGGAGGAAGCGGCCGGAGAGATGGTAAACCAGGACGAAGTGGAGGAGGAAGAGCAGCTGGGCCAGGCAGCATTCTTGTGTCAGCGTTCATACCATCATTCTGATCATCACCAAGACTTTGGGACATAGCTTGGTTTGCAGTTCTCCCAATGCTTCCAGTGTGACCATCCCATATAACTTGCTTTGGCTGCTCGTCTTTCTTCTTCTCAATTTCTGCCTGGACAGCATTAGATACTTCTTCCTCAGTAGTCCCAAAAATATCAGGACGGGTTCTGGCAAGGCCCACAATGTTTTTGGAGATCTCGTCATCAGCAGCAAGAGTGGTCTCACGAATCTTAGCAAACATCCTCTCCTTTTGCTCCTTGTACTTGGGATCAATTAGGGAAATCCTCATGTGCTCTGACATCTCACTAATAGGAATGAGCTCACCAGTAATGGGGGAAACAACAAACTTTGTTGGATCTCTCTCTGCTGGCAGCCTCTCCTCTGGTCTCTTCCAGTTCTTGACGATTCTCATTGGCTGCTCTGGTTCCTCATCCCTCTTACCATTCCCATTCTCTTCAACAATACTAGCTGCCCTCATTCCTTCTTCAACAAGCTTCACCTCCTCTTCATCCATTTCCATTTCTACCTCCTTTCCAGGCTCGACAATTTCATCATCTTCCTCCATCGCAGTTATCTTGCTTCTCCTTATGACCTCCTCAAGAGTCATTGGAACAGGCAACTCCTCGTCCTCATCATCTGCAAAGTCAATGGTTTCAACTACAACGAAATCATGCCAGTCAATCATGGCCATTTGTAAACGCTCCTGCTCAATCTCATCCTCAGCCTTTTGTCTTGCCTGCTCCTGTGAGCGCTCCCACTCTAGGCGATGCAAGCATCTCTCAAGCACAGTAGTCATGTCAGCAACACTGTTTGTCAACTTCTCGGTCAACCCTTTAGGAGGCATCAACACTTTCGAATATGCATCTGCAAGTCCAGTGAAAAAAGTGAACATACTGTGGGTTGGCTTCATGAAGTGGAACTGGGGATTGTTCATCTCCCTATTTGTCAGGCCAGTAAGGAAAGATTGCCCATTTCGAGCCACAAATTGGGCAGTCAGCTTAATAATATCAAGTTCCTCTCCCGTAATCCCTTCAGGAAGCTGCACTGTATACTGCTCAGCTTCTGGGGGCTCAAGGACCTTCCGAAGTGGTATTCTGAATTGGGCAGCAGGATCAGGTTTTTGGGCTGCTTCATTCTCATCATCAGCAGAAGGAGCAGATGGAGTAGACTCGGGAGGTGCACCAGAATCTGTTAGCTCAGAAGCAGGCTGGTCTGTAGAAGACTGGTTCTGGTCCCGCGATTCAGTCAATTTGTGTTGATAATATGCATGATAGGCATTGCTGGGATTCAAGAAGTCAAACTTAGCATTGTTGGCATTGTGAGCAATGATCCTTTTCTCAAACTCCGGTCCATTTTTTGCAACAAACTGAGCTGTTTTGTCGACGATATTCCGGATATCAAGAGGAGGATAAATGATACCAATGGTTCTAGTGTGAGTAGCAACTGGCGCTGCATTCTGTTCCTCGATTACTGGGTCTTCCCCGTTTGAGTTCTGCTCCGATGCTTGGAATGGGGGAGGAGAATCTCCCGAGTGAGGAGGGGGTGCTGGTAGGGTCAAAATTGCCGAGCCCGGCATTTTACTAGTCCTGATTCAAGTTCTTCAGATTAACTGCAAAACGAAAATTGCCACCAGAAGGGAGCCCAATCAAGTTTCGGCAGTAGATATCTGGAAACAAATTTCGAATAACCCAGACGTCAAAATTAACTAAAAACCGAAACCTTAACCCTAAATCTTTCCAATCAAAACAAAAATATAGATCGAATTCTATAAGCAGCTGAAGTGCGGAACTCAATTGGGGAAAACGTACCTTTTCAATTTCTATGGCAGAGTCGGCGTGGACGGCGAGAAGGGAGGAAACGGCACGGCGGCCTGCCTTCGGCTATCCTCTACTATTCTTCGTCGCAAGCGCTCTCCTTCGCGGTGATGGACTGACGATGGCCGGCCCCGACGGGGACAAAGTCGCAGTGTTGTAATGGAGGTAGGAGTTCGGAAAGATGTAGATTGGAGGGCCGATGGAGTTCCAATTTGGTTTGTGATTTAGGGTTTATGCTTTATAGTGGAAGTCTCGAGTATGATTTGAGGGGGCTCGCGATTTTTTTTTTTTTTTTTGCCAGGAAAAGAGGAAAAAAATCGCGATTTGGGGGTTCAGACGGTGGAAGACAATCCAGCTACCCGAATGTAACCGGTCAATGTGGGTAATTACCCGCTTTGACGGGTTAAGGGTCGGGTATGGATAATATCCGGTTGTAAAAATGCGGGTAGGGTACGGGTATGATAATTGCTAATATCCGCCCCATTGTACCTATAGGTGTCAAAACATAGCCCGACCCGATTAACCCGTCCGATCAACCCGACCCGCAACCCGAATTGACTAAAAGTGAGCAATGCGTAACCTGCCCGACCCGCAACCCGATTGACCAGCAACCCAACTGACCCGCAACCCGATTAACCCGAACCCGATTGACCCGCAACCCGACTGACCCGCAACCCGATTAACCCGAACCCGATTGACCCGAACCTGACTAACCCGTAACGTGACCGACTCAACCCGAATTTCATCTAATCCACTTGAATAATTATAAAAATATTCAATACATAGTTTTTCAAAATAAAGTTTTTCATTCCAAATTTAAGTAAAATTATTTTTTCGTTTCGTATAGGAAATTTAAAAAATATGAAACTCACTTGATATTACGTATTATAAGAATATTACAAAAATTGAAACATAAAGGTCACTTGAGATCATGACAATATTAATATAATATATAAATTAAAATTTTGGTTAATTTAACTATTCAATAAAATTATCAATTAAATATATAAAGTAAAGTAATGTATTTGGTAATTTGATGTTTTTAAATGAAGAGGGAAATTTTGGTGTATTCAAGTTTTTGGGAAGAGAAAAAATAGGGAAATTTGGTTCTTTGAATTTTTTAGAAAAGAAACAAGTGGGAATTTTGGTGGTTTTGATATGTTGGAAGAGAAAGAAGTGGAAAGTGTGATTCTTTTGATTATGAAAGAGTAATAAGAAGGGAAACTTTTGAATTTTCAACTTTTTGTAGAAGGAAAGAAGAGGGTAATTTGGTTTTTTCAATTTTATGGAAGAGAAAGAGGAGGGAAAATTGAGTTTTCTAATGTATGGAAGTAGAAATAATGAGGGAAATTTTAGTATTTTTGTGAAAAGAAAGAAGGAAACAAATTTGGTGTTTTCAATATTTTTGTTTTTCATAATTTTAGCTTTTGAAATATGAATCTTTAACTTTTATATAGAGGGCATGACTAGTTAAAATTATTCTTATATGCTTTGAAGGCTAATATATATGTGTGTAATTGTTTATGGGCTAATAAATAAATTAACCATTAGTTACAACAATTTATACTAAACTTGATAAGTAATCTTTGACGGTTCGTTGTTTAGGATATAAAGTATGTGGTTAGGGTATAGGGTATAAGGTACATATGGTTTAGGGTGTATATGGTTAGGGTATAAGATATTGATGGTTTTGACGATTCCAAGTTTTTTATTAACATATGTTCACTTGAAGTCATTTGAAGTCTTTAACGGCAGGAGATCCCTTTTTAATTTATGTTTATAGTACGTGGTTAGGATACAAAGGTATGTGGTGTAAAATATAGGATATATGGTTAGGGTATAACAATTAGCAAATATCACTTTTTATCTATGTTTTGAAAATCAAAGTATGAATTTCACTTTTAAATTAACTATACTAGCAAAATCACAACTCAAAGACATATGGTTAGGGTATAGGGTATAGGTTATGTGGTTAGTGTATAATGTATTGATGGTTTAGGCCTTTAGGGTATACAATCAACAACATATACTAACTTAATATTGTTGATTGAGGGTAAGGCTAAGTGTATAGGATATATGCTATTGAGTAAGTTCTGATTGAAGTCACAATAATTTTACTAAATTTAATAGCTAATCTTTAATGGTTCAATTTTTAGGATAATTCGAACAATTTTACAAATAACTCGTTTGACAACAGTTTACTGAAGTTATTTGGCTTTGGGCAATGAGTTATTTCGAAATAACTCCTTTTATCACTATGCTTTTGCCAAATACCACACGCCAAATACCGGATTTGCATGGTTATACTAAACGAGATACTTTAATCCAATTACTACTGAATTAATACTAAAATATCAAATAAACAATTAATGGTGTCTTTTGGTTGCAAATATTGATATCACCATTACTATTAGCTATAATACTTTACCAATTATGATTAATTACATAACAAGTTTGCAAGTCATAAAAAATGATTTAATATTTTAACTAGTTTTTTTCAAAAAAATAAAGTATATATATACGAGGTAGAAATAAATTGGTTAAAAAGTTGAGAAAATATTTTAAATTAGTGTAATAAAATGTGTAAGTTGGTAATGAGTAATGAGTTAAGTTACTTGATGCGCTGGCCCGAACAACCCGAAACCCGATCCGCCCGCAACCCGCCCGACCCAAAACCCGATGAACCCGCAACCCGATTTGCCCGCAACCCGATTGAACCCGAACCCGATGAACCCGCAACCCGACTAACCCGCAACCCGTTTGAACCCGAACCCGATGAACCCGCAACCCGTTTGAACCCGAACCCGATTGAACCTAGCCCGAACCCGCCCAATTGACACCTATAATTGTACCTGCCCCACTAACTAACTGATAGATATGATGTATTGTGTTTTTGTTTGTGTGGATTGTAGAAGCAAGAACAACTACTATTGGAGGGAGAATTAGAGTGCTAACTTTATAAGAGTTAGCACCGTGCTAATAAAGAGCTTATTTGGTATTTTGAAATATTAAAAAATAAATAAATTTAAATCAAATTTAATTTTCTCTCTCCTGTTTTTATTATCCATCTTTTACCGAAAATTACCACTAAATTCATTAATACTTAGGTTAATAATATTTTTAGCTGTTTATAGTAGCGATTTATTGATTTTTAGTAGTGATTTAATTGTTAGTAGTAGTGATTTAATGATTTTTAATTAATAGTGATGAATGATTTATATTAGTAGCGTTTTTGTGAGTTATAGTAGTGATTTTACGTATTTAAAGAACTACTAATAAGTAAAACACTACTAATAATGAACAAAAGACAGTGATTGCTATAAGAAAAACTACTTAAAATGACTACTACATACTAATATTTACAAGAATAATCACGGCTGGACAAATCACTACTAAATACAAACATATAATCACTACTACATCAACACATATAATCACTACTACATCAAAGGAGATCTATAGTACATATGCTTAGTTTAATTTCCATCACGATCGAGGTCGCCTTGCATTAATTCCCAAACCCATTTGCAGTCCAACTAGAGGCTCTCTGACCCCAGCAAGGAGCGCGACCACCACCATCTTGTTAGAGATAGATTAGGAATAATCTTATATTTCCTTGTCCGTCTAGTATAGTTCTTAATGTTTCCGTGTCCTTTTAGTATTGTGGTTCTCTTACTTATTGTCCAAGTCTTGTAATCTATATAAACCCCTTTGTGGTTTCATAATAATACACACTATTATTCCTAAAACTCCTATATGGTATCAGAGCCTCTAGCTTAACAGCCTTGATCCAGGAACCCTAAAACCTTTTTTTTCTCTCATTCACCGGCGAGATGAGTCCTCACTCCCCCGGTTAATTCCCTCCTCCCTTTCGCAAACTTAAACCCTGCATCCCACAATTGCCTTTCATGTTATTACGTTTTCCTTGTTTTTATTTTCCAAATAATTTCGTTAGTTGTTTTTATCCAGTATGATAGGGTTTTCATTTTATCCCTAATCTTCTTCCTTCTCTCTCGTCCCCAACAGCGCCAAAAGCATCCCATTGTCCTAGTGTCTAAAGTGCCATTCCCCAAATCAATCTTTCATCAATTACTCATCCCTATTTTTCATTGTCGCCGACTCTGCTAAATTTTTGTGCTACGAAGCTCGATCACTGCCGCCTTACTTCGGAGATGAGGCTCCGGCTTTTACAGCTGATTGCTTAAGAGTTTGCATGGTATGGAGTCCACAGTCAATCTCCAGCCATCTCTTCTTCACGTGTATGGAACGAAGAAAGCTTCTCCGACAACGGTCATTCGGATGAATGCCTCGTGTCCTACACCAGTTTACGTTTATTGGTATCGTTAAAACCAATTGATTATTGTTCATCTAGTTTTCGGTCAATTTTTGACAACGAGTGAGTTTCGTTGCAACATATGAATTGCAAGTTTGATGATTTCTTCTTCTCCAAGACGACGGTTAGTTGGCTTCGCTCTTCAAGCACGAGAGTTCGACGAGTTTGCATCACATTCTACACCATCACATTGCGGGGGCGTGTTCTTCAAGATTGGCGTATTTTGGTCAAGATTGATGTTGTTCTTCACACCATCATCTTGCGGGGGCGTGTTAGAGATAGATTACGAATAATCTTATATTTCCTTGTCCATCTAGTATAGTTCTTAATGTTTCCGTGTCCTTTTAGTATTGTGGTTCTCTTACTTATTGTCCAAGTCTTGTAATCTATATAAACCCATTTGAGGTTTCATAATAATACACACTATTATTCCTAAAACTCCTATACATCTCTCCAATCAAATCTTTCAAATAAAAGGGAGAAAGAAAGAAAGTGCCTCTTCATTGGCTCCAATTTTAAGTCGCCCTTATCCCGCCATCACCATTAACGGCAATCTGAAATGAGGACGGATCAGCAAGATCCGGGTTCGGATATGTTCAAAAGTGAAACCAGATGCATCGTACCCTCCAACGGCGGTGAGGGATAGCAGTGGAGGGGAACCAGATCCTCGCCGGTAGAAAGCAGCACCGACCTCGACCTTCATTCTAGATCTACAAAATATTAATAGTAGTAGTAGTAGGGAGAGGTTTGTGGTAGAGAGAGAGGGGGAAGCACTCAGTCATTTTCTTGTAGAGGGAGTTGTGAGAGAGAAGCCGAGGAGCCAGGACGGAAGAGTGGCGGCGAGAGTTTCTTTTATAATTAGGGTTTACGAAAATTAATGAAGGAATTGACTAAAATAACCTCTGATTAATTCTGACTCTTAGATTAATATTCTAATCTATCGGTTAGAGAGGTGGCTAGTAT